GGATTTACCAATTAATTCACCTCCCACTGTATATTTGGAGACAGGGTCTTTGATTGATAGATGGATTGGTTGCCTAAGATTCAGTTCACAGGGTTGGGACAGGTTCTTTAATGAGTAACTGTGAACATACAAGAGCTTCTTGGAAGGGGGCTGGACCCAAAGTAGAGATGAACTAAGAGGATAGCCTCACCCAAGGAGAGAGGCTGAGCTGATAGACAGGAAGACAGGGCCACAGGCCAGTGCTGAGGAGCTAGGGGAGATGCAAAGAGAAAGAATAAGCAGGATGTTGGAGCTATGAGAACAACTATCAGATGCAGTGTATTTTCAGGACCAAGACCCTTTCCCAAAGTAGAAATAATAATTGAGGTGCAACAATTGCTAAAAGAGAATTAACAACTCTAAAAACTGGTATTGGCTCACAATCTATAGAAATATTTCAATTTTAAAGCATATTGTGTTTAATTTAAAATGGCCTTCTGAAGGAAAAAGCAAAACAGAAAACCTGTTAACTTTGACAGTATTCTTTCAATAGAAATAATTGCATTCCTTTGAAGAAAAACAAATCTGAGCTTCTTGTCCAAAGAAATCTTGAATTTGCTCATGTGTTTCCAATGGCGTTTGGCACATAGCATCGGCTCTCTAAATGCCTCCAATAACTACAGTAAATGTCTCTATGAAATTCGGCACATCATACAAACGAAATGTTCTTTCTTGTTTGCAATTCCCATTTACTTTCAGAAGGAGAAATTCCAGATTGTATACAAAAATTGATAAGTTTGCCAAAATATCCAGGTATATAACCGTCAGCTACTGGACTACAATTCCTTAATGTTAATGAAATACAAACAGCTGACTTTATGCATTTATTTTAATAAGCCTGTGAAAACAGTCCATTTACGGTGTACAAACCCCTTGTCTTTTAAAAATGCTAGATGGAATCTTTTAATAAATTAAATTTATCTGCCTGTCAAATCTGTCAAATTGACAAGAATTCTCAAGGAGTATTGCTGATGTTGTAGTTCTACTTTTCCAATAGGATTACATTTGGAATTTAATAAGGGCTGCTTAGAGGAAGAATATCCATCAGAGTAATTTGAAGTAACAAATATTTAAGTCTCCAACCTTATAGGACCACAATGATTTTGTTTCCTTTGAAAAACCTTTTATTACTTACAAGAGTGTCCTGAATATCATATTTGCTTATAATGATGAAATAATGTAAGGAGACAACTAAGTCTACATCATCAGAAGAATAATTATTGACATTTGCTCAGAAATGTGTAGCTTACATAGTCAATTGTCCTCATGACCAACCTTGTGTCTGTCAGCTCTTACTGTTCCCAGTGTACAAATAGGGGCACTGAGGCTTGGAAGGGGAAACACACCCAACTCAGTATCACATATCTTGAATTTAGTAGAACCAGCACTTTAACTTAGGGGTTCTGATCAAAACATTACATCTGTCTGAACCTTATAAGATCACGAGGTCAGGAGATCAAGACCATCCTGGCTAACCCGGTGAAACCCCGTCTCTACTAAAAAATACAAAAATCTAGCCGGGCGAGGTGGCGGGCGCCTGTAGTCCCAGCTACTCGGGAGTCTTGAGGCAGGAGAATGGCGTGAACCCGGGAGGCGGAGCTTGCAGTGAGCCTGGGCGACAGAGCGAGACTCCGCCTCAAAAAAAAAAAAAAAAAAAAAAGATTTTCCTGGAATAATCAAATGTCTCCCTCCACCTTTTTCTTATAGAACAAAACCCATTTAATGTTTTCAGTGAATGCATGGGAGTATTTATGTCAAAGTTCTAGTAGTGGCCACTTAATAAAGATGAGCTCTTAATTTTTCAAAATGATCTACCCTAGAGAGGTGGGTATCAGGGTATTCAAAAAGGCAAGTCCATTCAAACTCTGGACCAATTGTGTAACACACACTAATCACCTATAATTGATGTCCAACCTCCTGGAATAAAAGCCTCAAGTACATGTTCAAATATCAAAATGGAATCAAGCCTCAGTTTTCAGATTCTTTTGTTTTTCATCCTCAACTTTAGAAACAGAGGTGCATCTGTTGGATAATAGTCAATGCATCTGTGTTGGTAACCAGGGGTCCAAGGTAATTCTCAAAGGACTTTTCATTTATTCATCAATAAATACTATGCTGTTGATCATGTGTTGGGAAAAATGTCTTTCAAAAATAAGCTGAACAAGAAAAAAATGTCAATGCATAGCATGCTTTTAGTTTCTTATAAGAGTTAAATATTCTGGATAAAAAGCGTATTTGCAATTTTAATTAATTTTAATTAAAATTTTTCCAGCAACAACCTGCAATAGTTGTACAATAATGACTGTTTAGTGAATGGCCAGGCCTAACAACAGGGTAAATGACATGAGACAGGCCAGGCACAAATCTGAATGACAGACCTATTTACACATATAAAGATCCCTATTTAACTTAGCTAGGAGAGCATTACCATGAGATGCTGCAGTAAAACAGTTACCCATGACCATTCTCATGAAAAAATATCTGGTATCCATTTCTAAATGAGATTAGTTGTTCCTCATGAACCATGAACTCACTGGAGATCAAATTAGACCCAAATAAATGAAACCCACTCAGTAAATTGTCTCAGAGAAAGATGGTATATGGGAAAGGACATTGGACTTGAAAAACACATGGCTACACATCCAGCTCTTTGCTTCTGGCTGTGTGATCTTAGACTAGTCACTGCCCTGAGCCTCTATCCCTCAGCCTTTTAACAGGCGACTATGAACTCTAACTCACAATGTTAGGATGAAGTTAATTAAATATCTATAAACCTGTCCACCCACAATGCTTTGTACATAAAACACAATCAGCAGACATTAGCTGAATTAAGTTAAAATACTAAGTCAATTTTCTTTTATCACTGAGATTGCAGGTTTCCTAATTTTTAAATGTGTTTTATTTGTCTCCACTTAGGTGATAAACCTTTGGAGAGAATGAGTCTTCTCTTACTCATTTTTTAACCCCCTTAGCAGAATTTCAAACATGAAGTAGTTCAAACACTTCTTGATAAAAGTCAAAGGGCAACTAAAATTGTACTCAAATAGAGGTGCTCTGAGGACAATGAAAATGGGTGTTTCTTAGAATGAATATATGAACTACTTGCTATGGACTCAATATGTGTATTCTCCCCAAATCCATATGTTGAAATCCTAACCCCCGAAGTGATGATATTAGGAGATGGGGCCCTTGGGAGGTGTTAGGTCATGAGGGTGAACCCCCTCATGAATTAGATTAGTACCTCTATAAAAAGACACTTAAGACCTTGCTTTTTCTCTCTATTATCCATGTGAGGATATAATGAGAATAAAGCAATCTGTAACCATTAAGAGGACCCTCACCAGAACTTGATCATGCTGACACTGTGATCTCAGATTTTCAGCCTCCAGAACTGTGAGGTATACATTTCTGATGTGGATAAGTCACTCAGTTCATGGTATTTTAACCCAAATGGACTATGACACTCTTCTATTAAAGGAAGTACAAATACTTCCTCCTAATATTTTATTCAATAACTGCATCTGAGCTGCACTGAAAGTCTAAAAATAGTACCCACAGCTGTGTTCCCATGGCCAGAGGGTTCTTCAGGCATTATCCTCCTACCCTTCACCGAGAGCTATTGCACTCTCATCTATGTTCTGCTTTTAAGGACTTCCCAATGCTTACAGTTAACTTCTCCACCCTTTCAACTGAAAACTCTATTGCAAGGTTTATCTCTGTTGTATATTGGAGGAAGATCTTACACGTGTGACTCTTTATTATAAAAGTTATGTTTTTATTTGTGTGTTTACTCAGACTTTTAAAAGTGAGAAGAAATTGTATAAATATTGTACTCCTCAGTCTGTAGAGGCTTCAGTTCCTCATAGACTCTGTCTCCCCTTTGGAGCCTCTGTCTATTTCATTAGCACAGCAGTTCTCAACCTTCTTGGTCTTAGGGCCTTTAAATTATTGGGGGGGCCAAAGAGCTTTTGTCTATGTAAATTATATTTATCAACATTTGCCATGATAGAAATAATACTAAGTTTTAAAATATTAACACATTTTAAAATACCAAATCACAAACCTATTACCTGTTACATAATGATGCTTTTTATAAAAATAACTGTATTTTCCAAGAGAAAAGTGAGAAGAGTGGCATGGTTTTACAGTTTTGCAAATTTTTTTAATGACTGTTTTAATAGAAGACAACTGGATTCTTATGTCTGCCTTTGCACTCAAACTGTTCTCATATAACACATCTTGTAAATTTTGTCAAACTCCTGTAAACACTTGTATAAGAATTAGAGTAGAAAAGCCAAAATGGTAGAATTGTGAAAATGGTTTTGAGCTTGTACATCCTGTAAAAGAGTCTCAGGAACCCCACAGGATTCAGGACCACACTCTGAGAACCACTGCAATGAGATCTTGCCTAGCTTTCCAAGTAGCCTCCAACTAGCTTCTCCTGGTGCTCATACTCAGGACGTCCATCTGCCAAATCACCACATCAGTGAAATACACATGCAACTGGCATGAAGTAATACAATCAAAACTATCGTGTTTTTTTTAATCCTACATTTATTCATGAAGATAGTTTCTCCCCTATCACTGGGTCAAGTCGGGCCAGTTCATTAACTTTTTCACCTCTCTTTTAGGTAACAGAAAGTTCTATGGTGCTCCAAGTTGCAGAAACGAAATCTCAAGTGGTGCTTTGAAAGTCTATACCCTTCAAAGAGTCCATTTACAACTTTATTAAAAGTCCTGGGACTTGCCTTTCTCCCAGTGGGAGCAGTTTTGCCTATCTTCACTTTTTGACCTATGTTGATAACTCTAGACCCCACTCCTCTAGAGCATGTGCATGTGTAGGGGTTGGGGGAGGAGGGATGTAGAGAGGATGGTGGAGGAAGGCTGGTAAAGCAGTCAGGAAATGTATGACTTCATTGGCACTTTCAATAAAAACATTGTGTTTTTCCTGTGCCTAGCAGAATTTTAGAGCTGGATCTTTGTCTCATGGATGCTCTTAGGAGACCCACCAAGCACCAACCCCTGATATTGCAACTGGACCCCTCGACCTGGATGAATGTATTCTTTTCAGCAACCATATGCTCCCTCCTGTTACCAGGTAAGGTAAGAAGCAATTCCTCTGCCTAGCAGCTCTGCTGAGTGAAATATCAGGAGGTCCCACCCAAGCTTTCTCTTGCGTGTAGCCTATATCCAGCATGGGAGTACAGGCTAATCCTGCAGTTGGCCAGCCTCTTGTCCTCTGGATATCCTGGGAGTGAATCCCAATGAAGGAATCTCCAGTGGTTTCCTGAAGCCCTTTGTGCTAGGCCTGAGGTGAGACAGAACTGCCCCATCTTATGCCCAGGAGACCTGGGAAGACTCACAGTGCACCACCGTCCTCAAAAATTCTCTCTCCCTGTAGGCTGTGGTCTGAATCTTTGTGTCTTCCTAAAATTCATATTTTGAAATCCTAACCCCCTAGGTGATGATATTAGAAGGTGGGGCCTTTCAGGAGTTGACTAAAACATGGGGGAAAAGCCCTCACAAATGAATTAGTTCCCTTATAAAATAAGTCCAAGGAAACTTGCTCACTTCTAACACCATGTGAGGACACAGCGAGAAGGCACCATCTATACGCCAGAAAGCAGTCCCTCACCAGACATAGATCTGCTGGCACTTTGATCTTGGACTTCCCACCCTCCAGAACTGGGAGAAATAAATGTATATTGTTTATAAGCAACACAGTTTATGGTATTATATCATAGCAGCCCAAACAGACGTTGTATTTCCTCAATGTTGGTTTAAGAGTTGTCTAAACCAGTTTCCTATTATTATACTGTGGATGTTTCTAGCTCTCAGTATAGCATTCCACCTCTTTTATATCTCCAGTGACTTAGTCAAGGCATCTAGTTGAACACCCTGTTATTTAAAGAAACCAGCATTCACTGGCTGTTCCCAGTTCCAGGGACTCAGGTGGCTTCATAATTTGTCCTGTTTCCTTGCACTTAGGAAAAGTACTGACAGCTCGTAATTGGTTGTATTTCTTAGGATATTTGCATTTAAACTAGAAGTAATGCTTTATTTTCTTGGTATAATTTGTCTTACATTTTTGAAAGTAATAGCTATTCATTAAATTACATTTGAAAATGCAGGAAGAAAGAAAAAAATTGTCTATAATTCTACCACTCATATAATACCACTATTCACATATGGGTACTTTCCTCTACTAACCTTTCAAAGCATGTCTCAATTTTAATTGTATTCACACAAATACAATTTTATATCATACATTTTACTTATTAATATGCTATTAGCATCACCAATGTCAACATAAACTCTATGTAAACATCAATTTAATGGTTGCAAAGTATTATATCAACTGGATATGCCATGACTTATTTAATCACTGTATTTATTGTTAAATATTTGCATTGTTTACACTGTTTAGTATTGAAAACCATGCTGCAATAAGTATCTTTGGATAGATCCTTTTTTGTTTATTTTGGGCTATTTCCTTAGAATATATTTCTGGATATGGAGTCACTGAGTAAATGAACATGGAAGATTTTAGGATACACACACTGTTTTGCAAAAAACTAACATATGCCTATGTTCATGGCCTATCACAATCATTGATCTGTGAAATCTCACATTCTTTATTGATTGATTTCTTTTTATTTACGATCTTAATTTTCATCCCCCTCATCTTCATCATAGGACCCCAGTCTAATTTGCTTAATATATACCTCTTTATTTGTACATCGTCATATTAGCAAGAATTTTTGTGCGTACATACTGTAAATGCACACAAATGATGATGTTGTGCTATGGATCTCATGGTGTTTCTCTTTTTTTCACCTAGCACTCGGTTTTTAAGATCTATTTACACTATAGATCCATCTCAGACTACTGAGTGCTGCCTGATTTGCTTCGATGCATCCATTATGCTATACTTCTCTAACTAGTAGACTTCTCTGGACTGCATCTAGCTCTGCACTACAACAAATAGTGCTGCTATCATTTTCCCTGGTCCTTGCCACCTCATGGGTAAGGTGTATATATATGTGTGTGTGTATATATATGTATATATACACACACCTATCTGTACTAAGTACTGCCTGATTGCTTTCCAGAGTGATTCCTCTAGTCTGTGTTCCCAGCAGCTGTGCATATGAGTCTCTGTAACCACAATTCCCATCCATACTTGGCATTATCCATCTTCCTAATTTTCCCACTCTGGCAGTTGGAAAGTGATATCTCGTGGTTGTTTGCATTTGTATTTCCCTAAATACCAGTGAGTTTGAGCATCTTTTCATATGTTTGTTAGTCATTTGTGTTTCTCTAATCTGATTTGCCTGTTTATATCTTTGTCCATTTATCTGATAGGGTTTTCATTTTTTTCTCATTATCATAAATATTAATAACGTATTTTACATTTTTGATAGAATTTTATATTTTTTGAGAAAATCTTGTGGTTTTGTTTAATAGGTTGATTCACAGATCTCTTTGTTATATCTAAGTTGAATGTACATATTGTAAATTGGTGATAAATTTATTTTTTGATAAATGCTATTAATTTTTATATATTGATTTTATTCCAGTAGTCTTGGACCTTTCTTTTTGTTTCTTAACTTTGTCAGTTCAATCATATTTTTAAAAAAATAAATTCTGCACATTGGAGGCTGAGGCGGGTGGATCACAAGGTCAAGAGATCGAGACCATCCTGGCTAACATGGTGAAACCCCATCTCTACTAAAAATACAAAAAATTAGCCATGCTTGGTGGCATGTGCCTGTACTACCAGCTATTCGGGAGGCTGAGGCAGGAGAACTGCTTGAACCCAGGAGGCAGAGGTTGCAGTGAGCCCTGATCATGCCACTGCACTCCAGCCTGGGTGACAGAGCGAGACTCTACCTCAAAATAAAATAAATAAATAAATAAATAAATAAATAAATAAATAAATAAATAAACAAATAAAGTCTGGTTTTTCCCCTAGAAATTGACAGAAGCTCTTTAGAAATTGGGAAAATTAGCTTTTTGCCTTAACAAGGCAAATGGCTTATTAGCCCTTTGTTTGTGAATGTGTTAGAATTATTTTTGCCTATATTTTTGGTGATTTTGCCATACCATTATTAAATAGAATGTATCAATGTTTTATTTTGTATCCCACTTACAAAGGCCGTTTTTAAAGAAATTATCTTGTGCTTTATTCTAGTAGGTTTATATTTTCATTAATTCAGATTTAAATATTTAATTTATTTGCAGTTTATACTGTTATAAGAAGTGAGGTATAGATCCAAATTTATTATCGTATTGGCTACACAGTTGAATAAGCCCTCTTTCCCTATTGATTTGAAATGTCCTATTTATCATATTCTACATTTTTTCATCTATATGTGGGTCTATTTCTTAATTTTATATTATTTGTCATTGGTCTGTGTTTTAATGCTTTAGGTTTAGGCCATAAAAATTACTGTAGCTTTAGTTATTATTTTAAAAGCCAGTAGGACTGATCATCCCTCAGGATGTCTTTCTCACAATTTTCCTGCATAATTTTACTTAAATATTTTATTTCATTTTATTTGTTTTACTACACTCACTAGAACATCCAGTATAAGATTAAATAGAAACCATGTTAACAAGTGCTTTCATATTGTTCCTGATATTAAAGAAAGAGCTTCTAAAGTTTCAACATTAAGTATAATGTTTACTGTAGATTTTTGGTAGCAACTCTTTATTAAGCTAAGGAAGTTCTTTTTATTTTATCTTTTTAGTATTATTATTTTTTTGAGACAGAGTCTTGCTCTGTCATCCAGGCTGGAGTGCAGTGGCGCGACCTTGACTCACTGCAAGCTCCACCTCCCGGGTTCACACCATTCTCCTGCCTCAGCCTCCCGAGTAGCTGTGACTACAGGCGCCCACGACCACACCAGGCTAATGTTTTGTATTTTGTTTAGTAGAGACAAGGTTTCACCATGTTAGCCAGGATGGTCTCAATCTCCTGACCTCGTGACCTGCCTGCCTCGGCCTCCCAAAGTGCTGGGATAACAGGCGTGAGCCACTGTGCCCAGCTGGAAGTTCTTTTTATTTCTACTCTTCACTACACACCAACCACAAAGTAAAGTTGAAAAGACTGACAATACCAAGTGCTGCTGAGGATGTGACGTCCCTGGATCTCACATACACGGTTAATGGGCATTTAAACTGATAACAATAGCTTTGGGAAGTTTCTGCTGAGCTTGGAAATACTCATACATTGTGACCCAGCAATTTCATTCAGGTATGGATCCTAGAAATGTGTACACAGCTGTAACAAAAGATATGTACAAGAATCTTAAAAGAGGTGTTATTACTCATAGCAAAAGACTGGAGAAAACTCAAATCTCCAACAGTACAGTAAACAAATAATTTGTGCTGTATTCATATAGTAGCATGCTCTACGGCAATAAAAGTCATTGAATTGCTCTTGCATGCAACAGTATGATGAACCTCATTAACATAATGCTGAACAAAAGAGTACATAGTACTCTGTTTACATCAAGATTTTAACATAACAAAACTAAGCTATGGTGTTATATATAAAGATAGTGGTTACTTTTGGATGGAACATAGTGAATAGAAGAAACATTAAGGGCCCCTCTGAGGTGCTGATCACATTCTGTTTCTTAATCTGGGTGGTAATTATATGGCTGTGTTTTTATTTATTTAAATACGCTTTTAAAATATTTAAGTTTGTTGAATGAATAATTCAATAAATGAAACAATGAAATCCAGTGTAAATTAAATTGAAAAAGACTCTTGTATTAGAAATGAAGAAACATGTTTGTTTTGTTTTGTTTCATTTTTGCCTCGTTCTCCCTGTAATGAGCTATGAGATCTTTCATCAAGTCACTTTTCCACTTTGGACCTCTGTTCCTTATTTCTCAAAATTGGAGACTGAATTAAATGATCTTTAAATATCCTCCAAGTTCTAAAAGTCTATAAGACCTATTTCAGATGTTACTTACATTTATAATTTTTATGAACTTTTATTGAAATAACGGGTGTCTTTTGTAATTCTTTATATTCATTCAGCAGCTTCCCATTATCCCTTGGCTTTCGTAACAGCTTCCCATATGATCCTGTTAATACAAACTGCCTGTGCCAATCAATAACTATTTTTCTCATTCTAAGTTAGCTTCTTTTTCTGGTTTATACATCCATTTTTAAAGAATATCTTAGTCCATTCAGGCTGTTATTAAAATAACAAACTATCATAGACTGGGTAGCTTATAAACAACAGAAATTTATTTTTCATACTTTGGAGGCTGGGAGATCCAAGATTAACGCTCTGACAGATTGGGTGTCTGGAAAGGACCCTCTTCCTCATAGACACCTGTCTTCTCACTCTAACCACAAATGGCAGAAGGATTGAAAGGTATCTCCAGGGCCTGTTCCATGTAGAAACGAATTCTATTCATCTCCCCAAAGGCCTAATCACCTCCCCAAAGTCCTATTTCTTAACATCCTCACTTTGGTTAAGGACTTCAACATAGGAATTTTAGGAGGACATAAATACTCAGAACATAGCAGAGAGTATGCTTGACACAAATTTTTCTCCATATATTTTTGTACCTACAAAACTGAGAAACAGCTCTAGTGACTTTGTCTAAATGACCAGCTTGTTTTGTTAGAAGACCACATTCTGGGCCATAAGGGAAATCAATGAGAAGAATTCCAAGTCTTCCATTGATGGTTCTTGATCAGATAGGATTGAAGACACCAATACCATCCTAGCCACTATTCCCGTGACAAAAAAACTATTAGCTATATGCCATTAACCACTCTCCCTGTCTATAGTAAGAGCAAGTCTAATATTGAGTTCTCTACACAGCTTCCAAGAATAAACATTATTTATCTTGCATCTTGGTGTGACTAGGTTCTGAAAAATGAGGTGTAAACAGGAGTGATGTTCGGTTTCCTGCCTGGGCCCTGGAGGTATGAGGTGTGCCCCTCCCAACTCTATTTTCTCTTTCCTGCTGGCTGGCATGGGATGAAGTACTGTACAATTTACAACTTTGTAGACAAAGAGAAAACTCTGGGAATGTTCGAGAAACTGGATCAAAAGGAGCCTGGGCTCCTTAGAGATTCAAAGCCCACAGCTGCCATCTCCATGGCATCTTCAGCCTTTTTGGAAGAAGCAAATAAATTTCTGCCTTGTATATACCACTGTTATTTTCAATTTTTGTCACAAGGTACTGAAACTATATACTAACCAATATACTCCTTAAATGTGTTATTGGAACCATTACTAGTGACTTTCTATAACATGCAGATAGAACTAGACAACTGCACTATCCTCTTTCCTAAAGTTTTTAAGTTTAATGTTAACATTCAAGACAGGACTATTCTTCCTCTCTTCTTAACTTGGCTCTGTATCTTGCAAGAGGCCAAACACTGTAAAAACGAAAATTCAGCGTTGGGACTGATACTCAAACTGACCTTGAGATACTAACAAATGAGTCAATTTATCACAGTCTAGGCTTTTTGGAGGACTATTTTCAGAGAATACCTGTGAAGGAGAATAATTAAAAGTGTAGGGGTCAATAATCTGAACTCATTAATAGCATTCATTAAGAAAACAAAAAGCATGGTTCTTTGGACTGGATAGTTAAAGGTGTTTTGAAATTCTCTTCTTAGAGAAATGGCGAATGTCTCTTATGGTAAAGACCAGAAAGAGAGACGTGGAGAGGTGTAAAATTAAGAAGAGAATGAGAAATGCATAAATGGTTAGAGATGTAGAATATGTAAGGCATAAACACAATATATTTTGCAAAACTGATCCATCTTATGGATAATAGATTATTTAAGAACATAGATATCCTTTCTCATTGTTTGCTACTACTGCCACCAAGGGAAGAGGACACAGAAGATACTGCACTCAATTGTTATTGATTCAACATTTCCTATATGCTGAGCATTCTTCAGGTGGCTGGTGACAGAATAAAGTATCTGCCCTCATGGAGCTTACACAGGGGAGACAAACAATAAGTGAATACACAAAAATATATCAGATAATATGAAGTGTCCATAAGTGCAACAAATAATTTTAAACATAAGTGCAACAAATAATTCTAAAAGTCCAATAAATACGTAGTGAATTATGTGATGGTGACATGTGCTGTTTCAGAATGAATGGCGAGGTCTGCCTCTCTGATCAACTGATACTTAAACAGAATTTTGAATAAAGTGAGGGAGTGGCAGAGAGTCCTATCTAGGAGAAGACTTTTCCAAATAGTGGGAACAGTAACAGAAAAGGCCCTGAGGGTGGAGAGAACAGGATTGTTTCAAGCACAGACAGCAAACCCATCACAGGAATGCTGCCACTCTCCTATCCTCTACCCAGACTTGTCCAGGGAAGATGACTCAGGTATGAATCCCTGCACTTCTCACTGAGCTAAGACAGGTTCAGAGTGTTTCTGAACACTAAGAATAAGTGCTAAGATGAAAACCATTTCTTGTCACTGCCTTACAGGTTAGGCTTCTCAGTTCCAGACCATAATCCTATCTTCAGATTGTCACTGACACTATAA